TTATACTCTTTATGAATGAATATTAGTGTAATTTTTGTACCTGGTTGTTGAAAATTATTGTTGACAATGCTTATCGCCTAATTTAAATAAATATTCCATCACTGTTGACAACACTCAAATTTTAGTGCTATTTTTTTTTGTTCTATTTGAACTGCAAAACAAAAAGATGACAACAGATCACAGCAAACACCAATACTCCAACTCGAAAGTGAAAAAAAAAAAACGACTTCTTATAGATAAAATTAGTTTATGTTTGTATTACTTTATTGGGTTAGAACAAAAATAACTTACAACTGGACTAAACTCGTATAAATCACTGGTCGTTGAATAGTGCCTTAACATACCCCTTTTTTCCTGTGAATAGTATGTATACATAAATTTCCAAATATTTTTATAAATTTCTTTTTACTTTTCTTAAGAAGTATAAATAGTTTTGTAGCAGTTTTGTTTATGTTACCTTTCTGCTTTCGAGAAAAAAAATTTTTGTTCAAATTTTTTTTTCTTTTTGCTTCTAAATAAATCATTTCAGGTTTGCTGCAGTCAGTGAAAAATGTGTGTTTCAGAAGTGATTGTTTTCTTGCAGTACCACATTTTTGGTACTTAATAATAATGATTTTCTGTTGCAAAGCAAAAAATTATAGTCAACAAGTTACGGTAAAACTAAAGTAATACTTTCTTAAAATTATCAAAAAATTTTCTCACAATTAGAGAACAAAAGTTTAGAGGTGATAGTTGATAACTGATAAATAGCTGTAAAGAACTGATATCGTAAAAAAAGCATTATCCAGGAATAAAAAATACTCTTGTTAATTAAACGAATACAAATTTCTGACTGAGACGATATTGATGCACTTTCAAAGTCCTGAAATGACCAAAAAAATGCTTCCTCTAAAACAACATACTTTCAAGCCTATATTTAATTTAATTTATACAGTTGTCTTTAATTCCAAATTCTTCATTTTATTTTTTTAAGTTAGTAAGAAGACGATAAAATTACAAAAACAACTGCATATTTTTACAAGAAATTTTTCAATTATTTTGATAAACACTTCAGTTATTTCAAACATTTTGATGTATCACATGCATGAACAAAACTAATGTAAAAACGAAATAGACCCAAAACCGGTAGCGAGTTAAAACGTGTTGCTGGTTAGGTCAAATTTTTGAACACTGATTTTTTCATTCTTATTTTCAGCTTTTAAGACTTTTTTTCTAGTGATAACTTTTTGCCTTTTTGTTTAGACTGAAAGAATTTGGCTAAGAACCTGCAACATGGCGTAAGTTTAATGCTTTTCGTTGCTCTTTGGACCAAATACATTCCTTTCAGAGATTGCATTTGATCATCGTCTTGTACTTAGTTTTGGTTTATTCTGCAAACATAAAACATACTTTACTTCGAAAGAAAACTAAAATTTACTGTAAAACGTAAAAATAATGGTCCATTCCGCGTCAAATGACAAATTTTTATGATTGACTTTTTAGACTCTTGTAATTTCCTATCAGTTTGTAAGCTACGATGTCTGATTGCAAAATCAGAGGTTATACTACTTGGAAAAGCGCCTTGGCGATAAATCATCCTAAAAGAATAACAAAAACACAGTTTTCACTAAACATGGTCGTAGGCACTTGCAGGTTTAATCACAACCGATTTTCGAAATTCATGTGTAATTTGAAAGCCTGTCCCCTGCAAAACCCGAGAAATGATGAACCACTTATGTCACAAATTAAAAGACATTATGAAAACAAAATTTGAAAACACTTTTTCTAAGAAATTTTTATCTAAATTTCACAAAAGAAGAAGCGCATATATCAGTTAAAGTTTTCCAAATTATTAAGATTACAAGGTGGTATGTCAATGGCAACATAAATAACAATGCATTACGTAAAACCAAACTGAAAAAAAATCTTTAGTTCAGAGTAGCATTTTGGTATGTTTGCAGCAAAACACGTTCTAGTCTCGACTGAATTAACGTTACGTTGAAACATCTTTTAATTTGACCAATCCAATATTTAATTTAAAAATTTTTGGTATTCAGTGATATAAATAAAGTTTTTCAAGAAAATTACTTTTATCTTATGGTTACTTTTTCGGCTTCTATCACGTTGCTGAATGCCATTTAGCTGCTATCCTTCCGAGAGTGCATTAATTTGCGGATATACTGAAGACTTGACAATGATGGCTCAAGAGGCTATTACAGAATACCATTAGACAGCGTCGCTAGCTAGGCACGAGGTTTACAAAACTAGAGACTGAAATATCTAAAAAAAATATTGGTAGATTTTGCAATTTCAGAAGATTATAAATAAGAGAAGGTTTTTCTAATTAATTGTTTTCTTGTACGCTTAGCTACTGCAAGCGCACGAAAATTCTGCCTGCATTATACCACGTACTGGTGGGAGAATAGTATCAAAACAATATTGGCTATAGATAGTCAGCACTGAGTTTCAAATACTCAAGTCAAAGGAGTTCAGTGATGCAACAAAACAACACTGATAGAAGAAGTAACCGTAATAGTGAATTGTGTGAGAAATTTCATTTCTGTCAATCTCCTAGAAAAAATTACTAGTAGGGTACCTGCTACTGAACCTGCGAAACTGAGGCGTGCGTTCGTTGAAAATTTTAGTTGAAACTAAAACATTGTCTGTTGTAGAGACCTTAAAATGTTGAAAATTTCTTTGCAGTCTAATCTCACTGATCACATCCTAGCCTGTAATGTCATAGAAATACCACCTTGTGATTTCAGTATGCTATACAACAATTATGCTTTCAACCACTATACTTTTCAAAATCTAAAAAGTAAATTCTTGAAAAGAAATGCTTTTTATTTTTGTTCTCAATATATTCTTCTATATAATATGACAATATACTTATTTCACCAATTCACCAGTTGTGGAAGAGAGATTTCTCCCAATGAAGGAGAAACAGTTCAGATATTGAAACTCCTTAGTGAGCAAGCACACTTTTTGGTTCTAAAGACAACCACGTCAGGCAAAAATTGTGCTTTTTCTCTTCGCACTTCATAAGAGTCTCGCTTTACTGACATTGCGCTTTCGTGAGTTTAGTCTTCATGGATTTCACAATCAGGCTTTACTGTATTTCAGCTGCTTGAGCAATGAAAAAGAGCACTGTTTACGGAATCTTCATCGTTGTAAGCGAATTTATGAACAGAGCGTTGCCTTAGACGATCCTTGTTAAACCATATGTAGAAAGTCGTTCATATTGTTGATTCATTGCATCTGAAGAGCAGGAAAATACTTAGTCTAGAGAAAAAAAAACGGAAGAAGCGAGAAGCAAAAGCTAGTGTTTTTTTGCTACAGAATAAATGATTTGAAAGCAGCGACAAAATAACTGTAACAACGTCTTTTTTTTTTTTTTTTTTTTTTTTTTTTTTTT